AATCTCTCTGGAACACTCCCACACTAACATCAACTTCCTGTACACCATAATCAGCTGCAGCAATGAAACCCTATAGACAAGAATCCCACGAATCACCACACCTACCTTCATAGGTCCAGTAACCACTCCACACACACCAAGAAATCTGTTATCTGCAGCCTGGCACTCAGATACCACAGAATATGGTCTGAGGAGAAAGTCTCGGATAAACACCGTAACACACTCAAAACCACCTTCACCAAACAAGGACACTCCACCAGAGAAATAGATCTCATCATGGAATGGGCCACTCAAATACCCCAAGAGAACCTGCTTCGATACAGAAATAGAACCTCCTCTGACCACAGACCTCTACTTGTCACTTACCACCTGTACTAGGATCCATATGGGGTATCATCAAATAACTACAACCCATACTCGATGGGGACCCCATCCTGAAAGAAATCTTTCCTGAACCCCCACTTCTGGCCTTTAAACAACCCCCCAACCTCTCCAAGCTCATAATCGGAAACAAGCTTCCCAGAGACCAGGACACACCAATTCATAGCGGCATCAGACCCTGCCAGAACAACAGATGCAAAACGTGCAGACACATTTCCACTTCTACAATGATCAGCACCCCCCCCAAACACATCTTTCAAGAGGCATGTGTAGGTTCCATGGATATCACATGTGGTATACCTCATTCAATGCACTAAATGCCCAATAACAATTAAATGGGTGAAACCAGACGCTCGCTATGCTCTTGAATGAACTCACACAGGAAAATGATAAAAGACAAAAATACCCTGTCACCTGTGGGTGAACACTTTTCATAAAGCGATCACCCTATATATGACCTATCAATCCTCATCCTCAAAGAAAGCCTTAGTGGTGTGCAGGTTATGTCTACACTGGCAACTGAACAACAAAACTTTTGTCATTCAGAGGTGTTAAAAAAACACACCCCTTCCCCCGAAAGACAAAAGAACAGCGCTTTGTAGGCAGGAGTGCTCACAAACAGCAGCTACACTGCGTGCCTTTTAGCCTCATGGCTGTAGCATCACAGCGGTGTCGCTAAAAGTTACGTAGTGTAGACATAGCCTAAGCTCGCTAGACGTGGCCTGAGTTCCAATTTTGTGGTGTTCCTCCTGTGGGTGAAGCTATATTCTGCCTAATATTGAGGGCTGAACCTAATAGTTCAGTCTAATTAGTAGTATAATCGAGGGTAAACTTGGGTAAACTGATTTTACTCGCTTCTGATTTGGGGAATATGGATTTTAGGGTGGTTTACATATATATATATATATATAATTTATTTATTTTACCATTACACCATTAGTCTAACCCTTAACAAGAAAAAGAGGAAAAGAAAATATTTCACCTATACATAGTGCCCAAGCTAGCATTGCCAGAACAATCTTAATTTCAGGTATTTTCTGATCTTTGAGCACTTGATTCTGTAACTCCAGTGTTGTATCAATATTAACACTGAGCATGCAATTTTCTACCTTTTTTTTTTTTTTAAAAGGTAAAAGGGAAAAAAAATCCCTAGAGATAACTGGGTTGAATATCTTACTAGCTTCTCTGGCAAAAGTCAGCTGTGTTTGAATTCAAATGTACACTTAACTAGCTGTGCACACATGCAGTGTATTGATCTATTGGTGCATCTGTAGACTAAAAAGGAAACTTTTTCTATTTGAAAATTGCATACCGTGACTATCCAACAATGTTTCAAACTGAGTGAATGTACGGGTCTGCCAAGTCTGTATCCAGTTTCAAACAAATTGTTCTTACTATAATCTTGTCTAATGCAACGTCTCCAGTTTTTAAATGTGGAGAGGAAGAAAATTCTCTTATCTCCCTGCATAAATCCTTATTCAGACAGCTGAAGGGATTTTGCTTAAACTTTTTGGAAAATACACTTTCAGAGACAGAGCTTGACAAATTTCAGACCGGAGGTAGACGTCGATATGGCAGCAGGCACTCTCAAGTGCTTGCTATAAAACATTGATGCCAATGATATTTTAAATGAGAATTGGGAAGCTTTCTAATAAGAATTGTTTAATAGCCTGAATCCTTGAGACTTAAACCCACAAATTTTATAATACAATGGGTAATTTTTTTTTCTTAGTTCTGGGCATAGGATGCTTTTTCTCCCCTGGGCATAGCTGACCTTAAATATGTCACATGTTTGTGGTAAAGGTTCTTGAATTATTTCAGATAGTAATGTAATCAGCCGCTAGAAGGGAGCGTGCACCCTGGACTTAGGTCTTGTCAAGTAAAAAGCTTTCATTTAACCTTTGTAAAAGCATTGTAGTGTGATTTACTCTTTTTTGTAAACATTTGTGATGGGGTTGGGTTTTATGCTATTATGGATGGGCTGGTGTGGTAATTTAAGTATGGGCTACCATTTTTTAATAGTGAGGTACAATTTCCCTTAGTAAATGCAAAATCACCAGATCTGTGGCCCTCCCTCCCCCCGCACCCCCCGCCTTTTTTTTTGTGTGTGTGAAATATTAAGGTAAAGAAAATAGTAGTTCTCTGACATTAGACCACTTCAGTTTCTTTAAAGGTCAAATGCCAAGAAGTCAGTTGAAAAGGTAAAAGACAGTATATCTTTTGTATTAATGACTGTTACAATCAAAATAAATATTTACTATTTTCTTTATTTAAAATTCAATAGTCACTTTAAATCCCAATCAAGAATTCAATAGAACTGAAGATTATATCCAAAAAATGTTTAAGAAAATGGATGATTTGACATCTTATGAATGACAGCCTCCTCCAGACTTTGTGCTTATACAGGTTTTGTTTTTGACAGTACTGGAAACAAACTTCTTTATGATTTGTAGGGCAGTCATGGTGCTTCCTTAGGTTGCCTGCCTAGTTACTATTACCCATTCTAGTATAGAGATGACAAGTCCACTAAAGGTTTTCTTGCAGTTTGTTCACAATTATTTTGTGTCACAGTATCTCTTTTTGCTATAGTCTTTTTGCTATAGTTCAGAGTCCATTAAAAATCAGCAAAATACAGGAATTGAGTTTTGTAAATCTGAACAAAACGTTATAGTTCTTTCAAAAGTTTACAACTGAATGTTGACTTAAAACAGCTGTGAAACTTTATTATGCAGACGAAAAATACTGCTTTTAACCATCTTAATTTAAATGAAACAAACATGGAAACAGTTTCCTTACCTTGTCCAATATTTCTTTTTAAACTTTCCCTTTATTGTTTTTTAGTAGTTTAACACAGTACTGTACTGTATTTGCTTTTTTATTTTTTGGTCTCTGCTGCCACCAGATTGTGTATTTTCGGTTCCAAATGAGGTGTGTGGTTGATAGGTTAGTTTGTAACTCTGGTGTTCATAACTCTGAGGTTGTACTATATCCAACTTGTTTCATGTAAGTTTTCACATTCACTTCAGACAGGAGTCATCGATAGTGCTATGTTTACTAATTTAATGGCTACTTCAGTTTAAAATGGTAACTTTCCCACATACCACTATGCTATAATTATTCCTAAGTGTTGTACCTGGAAGCTAAATAGAAAAATGCATGGTTTGGAGTGGTGATCTTATGCATTTTGGGGAGGAATTCCAGAGAGATTTCAATAAAATAAATTGTTTTTTCCCACGTGGGAATACCATTTTGAGTCATTCTCTTGTCTGGAAATTTCGGTCCTCTCAATATTGCAAATTAGCTCTAGTGAGAGATACAGTTGTTCCCAGTTATTGTTGAAGTACAGTTCCATGTTGCAGGATAGGTACACGATGTATTCCCATTCCCTGTTAAAAATTGGTTTGGTCCTGTGTAAAATCCAAGACAGAATGGCGCTTTAAGCTTGTCTGGTGACTGTCGTATTGTTCAACATGATTGAAATTTTAGTGTAGTGAGAATCATATTTTGTATGAAAACTTTTTTTATTTTTTCCTATGTAGAGTTTTCTATTTTCTATACTAATAAAGCAAAGAACTCCAGTCTTATTTAGTAAGAAACTAAAATTTTTTAAAAATTTAAATAGCACCAATTTCTTCACACTTGATTTCAGTTGAACGGTGCATGGTTGATAGAGTCAAAGGGCCAAATTCAGACCTTGCATAAGTAGGTGCAGCTCCAACTGACCCAAAGGTGAGGTGAATAGGAATTACACCTGCTTACATGAAGGTTGTGTTTGGTCCAAGTTTTCTTATTGACAGATATTTAACTAATGTTTACTTCTGGATTTATTAATTCTAGTTGCACTGTGGACGATGTATCTTGTTCCCTTAATAAAAATTATAAATGAAAGAAAGAACTGGATAAATATTAAGGATATGAGAAGGGAGAGAAATGTTTCATCTGCCCCTTACATTGATGCATTTTAAATATCAGCAGGCGATCTATTCAGAATTCAAAGTTCCACTTACTGGTTAGTAATACATTATACAAAGCAATAGATCTGTTAATTTGCCACTCTTTATGAACAGCAACGACAAGTGGAGAATGTCAACTTCAAAATTTGAATCTAATGTGTAATTGAAAACCTGTTACATTAAATTTTATGCAAAACCTTTGAATCAACCATTCAAAATAGATACTTTTGAAATATATCTAGTTCTCTACCTACCTTTATGCATTCACATATTTCCTGTAATAAAAAGTAAAGTAAATTATACTAGCATTATTTGGCTTTTGTTATTGGAGGCATTTTTTTCAGGGATTCTCAGCAAATGAGTGATGTAGCTGTAAATTTGATGATTTAAATACACGAGCTCTGAAATGATCTGTTTAATTTAAAATCAAACTGATAGCTTTTACAGCCTTTTGCAGTCTTATATTGTTGTAATTTCAGTATAATTCAGCTTTGAATAGATTTGCAGAAACTCTAATGAACACTCAAAATGTTTTATTCCAGTTAAAATCCAGTGCGAATTTTGTCATAAGCAAAACATGTTTCAAGCTTGCATATTATATGAAAATACTTTCACCACTGTTCAACTGAACAATAAGGTGTATGCATGTTAATCAAGTACACAAAACATTTCAGCTAGACTCTCTGGGTGAAAGACAACATGAAGGAAAAATATATGCAAATAGCAGCAGCATTCGATCTGTATTTACAATATTTAGCAGATCATTTTTATTAAATTTAAACATAAGATACTTGTTCAGCCTAAATAACCCAGAGATGAATGTCATTATGGAATTTACATACCATTAGCTCACATTAATTCATTAGCAGCAGAGCTCTGTGGTACAGGGCTAGTTAGATACATTATTTGTGATGTCTGGATGCTGTAGTTTAATGAGGTTTACTGGCTGCATGCTTGTTGCCTTTGTCTGGTGATAGAAGTAATTACTTGATAAAATGAAGTGCATCGCTGTGAACAATTGACCCTTTGGAACAATCCAGACTGGTCAGCAGTCTAAATCCACATTTTAAAGCCATCATTATAGCCTCAAACTTAAGAGTTTCCAGGGTGCAGACAAAGGTGTTGTCTTCCTTCAGTACAAGTCGTGTACCATTTTCTGACTTTATGAAGTATTTGAATTGAATAATATTTGAAGATATTGAAAACTCCTCTGGAAATCCATCCAGCCTGCTTTTTGACACCAGAACAATGCGAGATTTGATTTTTGCTATGAAATCAGGAGCATTACAAAAGATCCTAAGACCTTGTGAACGGTCGTGGCTGTCAGTTATTTCCAGGAAAGTCGTCTCTCTGGACGCTAGCTGTTCTTTCTCCCACCTTGATTTCACTGCATCAGCTAACATCTTAAGCTGAAAAAAATCTGCTTCTTGTGCCAAAAGTTGATTTTCTCGAAACCCCTCTGGTAGAAGAAGTTCTCCATTTCGTAGGAAGTTCAGAATGTGCCTGAAAAGGAGTCCATCTCTGTCTATGAAATAATGGCCATCTGCATCAAATGGACAGAGAATTTTTCCATTTACCACACCTTCAAGAAAAGAGTCTGGGTACTTGGTTAGTGTTTGTTTTTGTGTAATGTACAGGTATCCACCAACATTGAGGGTAATCAGAGGCATTTTACAGTTCTTGCCTTCCTCAGTACCCTCAGAGGAGTTGTGCTTTTCTTCATGTTCCTTTTCTCTTCTGTTTATTTTTCGCTCCATTCTTAAAGCCAAGTTAAAAAGAGAGCTATCTTGCCTTGTTCTTGTGTGCTTGAAAAGAGATATTTTAAAAGCACCTTTATTCAGCTCCAGCACGGTGATGGAATGGAAGTGCTGCTAGCATTGCATGGATTGTCAGCTCAGTTTTGCAGTAGGTGGCGTATCAGCTATGTATGCAGTGAGATATCAGGAGTATGGCTGTAAGGAGAATTTGCATTTAACTGTGTAAGGGAAGAGTACAGATGTAAAAGCTGTTTTAATTATTTTCTTTGAAGTCTAGTAGGTTTAAATTATTTAAAAATAGCATTTTGAATTACTCTGTGCAGAATGGACAATACCTTTTTACTGACCAGTTAAATTTTAATATTTACTTTAAAAATGTGTTTATAATGTGGAATTGCTTGAGAATGTTGTAGTGATAGCTTTGTTTCCTTTTTTAGGTATTTTTGGTTTTACACAATACCTTTACAAAAAGCAAGTTGTGTTACTGTTTAAGGTACTTCACCTATTTAATGGAAGATAGCTGAAAACAGATGATTGTATGTGTATACTTTATGTATGAAACACACAGTGGCTTAAAATGTTATCAGAAAATGCTTCAAAGTGGTATTATAAAGCATTTCTGATCTAATTGGTTTAGTATTTAGTAAAAACTCTCATTTTTTGTTGATTCAGCTATCCTCAGTGAGGCAAAAAATATAGCCTTTATTAGGTTTTGTATCCTTTACCATAGATTAAAAATTATTTTAGAGAAAAGGCACATTTATTACTTGTATTGGTAATTTTAAAATAACCAATGCTAGATTTCACAGATTATTTTATATTTAATCAAAACAATTCTGTTGCCATGCGGAACAAAGGGCCAGTGTGCCTATAGAAATCTTTGAATATCACATAACACTATAGCTTAGCAACACTTCAGTAAGGGAGAAAACATTGACAAAGTATACTTGAATCAAATGGCTGGCTCATTTCTCTGTATGAAGCTGAGATTAAAGGTTCATTTGAAATTACCTTTTTTAAAAAGATTTTCCCCTTTAAACATTTGCAGCTGGGTAGAGGAAAAGGAAAGCTGTACAAACATTTGTGTATTTCCTTAGGGAGTGTGCAGGAGATGGCGGGTAGTGTATGCAGCATGCATTCCAAAGCAAGGTAGAGATTTAACACTTACCTTAGCCTGAACATGGAAATCAGAGATTCCATTATATATAATATATATATATAATTTTTTTTAAAGAATGTATTTTTCAGTCTACAAGCAGATGCCTATTGCTTTGGCCTGTTAACAACAAAGTCAATTATCCTTTTGTGAAAAGGATTCTCTGTGCCTTTGTTTATGTTAAGACTATCTTCATACTGCTCCCAATAGATATATGAGCAATTACTTATAGATACAGTATTGTAGAAACATTGCTTTAATGATGTGATTTTTTTATTGATTAATATGACTGTGTGCCTGTTGATGTAAATAACATGCTGATTCTACTTGTTGCCCCCATACTTCAATATTCCCAGTCCACAGAGCTGCTCTGCTAAATCTTTTGTCTGCTGCTATGTGTAACATATTAAGCATTATTTTATTAATTAGACTCTGTGCATCAGTCATTACTAAGTCAGTGTTTAAATTTAACACTTTGATACCCTCATTGTGTTTAGTATCACTTCAATTTGAAGAGATTTTAATCATTTAATAACTGTTGAATATACTAACTGTTTGAAAATCAACTCTTATGACAGTTAGTAAGAGTTAATAAAGGTATTTGGAGAGAGAGAAAAACAGGTGGTGTAATTCTGACATAAGCGTTATGGATAATATTTTGCCACTGTGGGAGACTTTTGCTTAAATCCAGTTAATAGTCAAGTGTCAGACTCCATTTGATCTGTTCACATTTGATGTGGGTTTTAATCTTATAACCAACTGTAAGAATCGTAATGGTAATTGATAAACCCTTTGACTCTGGGGTCATTCTATCTTGCATGGTGATCTTGTCATCTCTTTGAAGCTAAGCTGGGTCACTGCTGGATGGGAGATTTCCGAAGAAAGCCCAGATTTGTAAAGGAGTTTGAAATCCTTCATGGCAAACCGAGCTGTATAAATTTAAGACAAGGCAGCTGCAAAACAGTATCCATTCCTTAGCTTCATATGCTCATTATCTTCTGAAACCTCTGTCTTTGGGGCTGAAATTTTCCAGGTGTGGCTATAGTTAAATATTTTTGAAAGGTCAGGCTAAATCACGTCAGCTGTTTAGAAAGTAAAAAATGTCAGCAAGCTGTTAGCTCCAGATCCCAGGAGTGGGGGCGAGGGTGGGGGAGGAGAAAAAGAGTGTGTGTGTGTGTGTGTGTGTGTGTGTGTGTACATACAGGAATTTACAGGCTCAGCTGTTGACTCAAGGAGAATGTCAAGTGTGCCTATCCTTAAACTTACGGAAATTGCGTAAAAGAGTTAGTCTTCCACACCATACCCCCACACAACCTTAACTCTGCCCCCTTGCAGTTGGCAATAGGCAGTTTGACAAAACCATACTGTACTTGTCCACAAAATCTGCAATTTTTTGTGGTGTTTGTGCTCAACACAGTATTGTCATTCGTCAGATGCTTCTTACTGTATTAGACATAGTTGTATTGATGCAGGAATTAGTTGCAGCAAGTTGCTAGATATCAAACTGCCATCTGAGCAGAGGAACAGCTGCAGCTAGAGGAATCGGGGATCCTTTTTTTTTTTTTTTTTTTGTTGTGATATTGAGGAGATCAAACTGGATGAGCACAATGGCCCTTCTTGGCACAAAAATCGAAGTGTGCATGAAGAGTTTCTAATGTCTGTAGTGTTTTAGGACCACTGGAATGACTGCGACCTCTGGAAGTTGACATTCCATTGGGCATATCAAGAAATAGGGGAATGTAAGAGTGCTTCACCCCCATCTAACTCTTGCATATTCTCAGTGCCCAGCCCAAAACCCATATCTACACTGGCATTCATACAGTAACATGTATCCGCTGTGCTGTGCTATTTCCCTGAAGCATTCTAGCAGTGTGATGGCACACTTCACAGTGCACCATGACCCTCAGTTGAGGCTAACCTAAGTCCAAGAAAGAATAACGTGGACAAGGATTGAATAGCTGTTGATATTGAGCAACTCTTTGGTGCTTAGTCTGGAGTAGGTGAATTGGTTGAGTGAAGGTCATGCCTAGTTAGCTCACGTTCACTAATTCTGACCTACATGTGATCTTGATTACAGCGAACATGAGGCCTAAGTGTTTCCCCTGACTACTGTTGTGTACTTTCCACACTGCCTGGGAAAGGTACAACCCTATAATCTCTCACAGGGACTTGTTGAGATATCGCCAAAAGGAGACTGAGTTAAGATTAGCAAAAACAACGAGGAGTACTTGTGGCACCTTACAAATGTATTTGGGCATAAGCTTTTGTGGGCTAAAACCCACTTCATCAGATGCATGGAGTGGAAAATACAGTAGGCAGGTATATATACACAGTACATGAAAATGTGAGTTGCCTTATGAAGTGGGGGGGGTCAGTGCTAATAAGATAATTCAGTTAAAGTGGAAGTGGGCTATACTCAACAGTAGAATACCAAGGGAAGAAAAATCACTTTTGTAGTGGTAATAAGGCCAATGTAATGAGGGTGGCCCATTTCAAACAGTTGACAAGAAGGTGTGAGTAACAGTACGGGGAAATCAGTATGGGAAAATTAGTTTTTGTAGTGACCCATCCCCTCCCAGTCTTTATTCAGGCCTAATTTGATGGTGTCCTGTTTGCAAATTAATTCCAGTTCTGCAGTTTCTTGTTGGAGTCTGTTTTTGAAGTTTTTTTGTTGAAGAATTGCCACTTTTAAGTCTGTTATTGAGTGTCTAGGGAGACTGAAGTTTTTTCCGACTGGTTTTTGAATGTTATAATTCTTGACGTATGATTTGTGTCCATTTATTCTTTTGCATAGAGACTGTCCAGTTTGGCCAATGTACATGGCAGAGGGGCAGCATATGATGGCATATATCACATTGGTAGATGTGCAGGTGAATGAGCCCCTGCTGGTATGGCTGATGTGGTTAGGTCCTATGATGGTGTCCCTTGAATAGATATGCGGACAGAGTTGGCAACGGCGTTTGTTGCAGGGATAGGTTCCTGGGCTAGTGTTTTTGTTGTGTGATGTGTAGTTGCTGGTGAGTATTTGCTTCACGTAGGGGGCTGTCTGTAAGTGAGGACTGGCCTGTCTCCTAAGGTCTGTGAGAGTGAGGGATCGTCCTTCAGGATAGGTTGGAGATCCTTGATGATGAGCTGGAGAAGTTTTAGTTGGGGGCTGAAAGTGACGGCTAGTGGCATTCTGTTACTTTCTTTGTTGGTCCTGTCCTGTAGTAGGTGACTTCTGGGTACCCTTCTGGCTCTGTCAATCTGTTTCTTCACTTCCCCAGGTGGGTATTGTAGTTTTAAGAATGCTTGATAGAGATCCTTAGGTGTTTGTCTCTGTCTGCGGGATTGGAGCAAATGCAGTTGTATCTTAGAGCTTGACTGTAGACAATGGATCGTGTGATGTGGTCTGGATGAAAGCTGGAGGCATGTAGGTAAGTACTGTATAGCAGTAAGTAGGCTTCCGGTATATGGTGGTGTTTATGTGACCATCACTTATTTGCACTGTAGTGTCCAGGAAGTGATCTCTTGTGTGGATTGTTCCAGGCTGAGGTTGATGGTGGGGTGGAAATTGTTGAAATCTTGGTGGAATTCCTCAAGGGCCTCTTTCCCATGGGTCCAGATGATGAAGATGTCATCAATGTAGTGCAAGTAGAGTAGGGGCGTTTTTATGGCTGACTTAGAACAATGCTTCCTCAGCTCTCGTCCCCTAACGCCCCTACTGTATTTTCCACTCCATTTATCTGATGAAGTGAGTTTTAGCCCACAAAAGCTTATGCCCAAATAAATTTGTTAGTCTCTAAGCTGCCACAAGTACGCCTTGTTGTTTTTGCTGATACAGAGTAACACGGCTACCACTCTGAGTTAAGATTGTGTGGTGTGAGAGACATTACCTGAACATGTGTTTCCTGGTTTTCAGAGATCTAGGCATAGGTTCATTTGACAT